GAGTGGTAGAAAATTGAGAAAATTTGGTGTTTATGTTGCTGAATAAAGGAAAGAATCATTTTTCTTGTTTACTCTCAAAAGAAATTTTTGGGATTGGGTGGTTTAGGACAGCAGGGATCAGGTGAATCCAAACGCTAGAAACTTTTGAAACTCAACATGCTTTTTAACAAGTAGTCTTTCAAAATAATTTTTACTGTATTCTATTCATTGGACTTTTGAAGGTTTATTTTACATAGTTCTGGAGAGGGTAGAAAAATGAATATAAGAAAAATGTATTTAGAGAGATAAACTGTAGACAACTCTTAGTTGTTTAAGGATAAATGAAATGTGTATTTTATAATAGCAGACATATAATCATCTCCTTTGTTCAAAAACCCCCTGTGGATACGAAAATCCTTGAATGTTCAAGTCTCTTATATAAAATGGCTTAGTTTTGCATGTAATCCATGCACATCCTCCCTTATACTTTAAATCATCTCTAGATTATTTATAATACCTAATACGAAATAAATGCTATGTAAATAGTTATTATACTATGTTTTAAAAAATTTGTATTTTTGTTTGTTTGTTTGTTTTTTGAGACAGTCTTGCTCTGTCGCCCTGGGTGGAGTGCAGTGGCATCATCCTAGCTCATTGCAACCTGAAACTCCTGGGCTCAAGTGATCCTCTTGCCTCAGCCTCCCTGAGTGCTAGGATTACAGGCATGAGCCACTGCTCCTGGCCTGTCATTTTTATTATTGTTTTTTTCCCCCAAATAATTTCGATCTGTGGTTGGTTGAATCTGAGATTGGCTGAGTCAGCAGATGTGGAACCTGCAGATACAGAGGGCCCACTGTACAAGCAAACCATCGTAGTATGGCAGGTAACATTCAATTTGACTGAAGTAAATGGAGAATTCACAAAGAAGGAGGCATTTGAGCTAGGAATGAAAAAGAAGGATTTTGATATATGGGTCAAGGTTGAGAGGAAGAAAGAATTAAATTGAGAAAGGGAATAAAATCATGAAAATACTTGGTGTTTTGGTGTGTCTAGACTTTTATTTTGTTGGAAAGATGTAGTGGAGGATGAAGTAAAAAATAAGTTTGGGGCAGATTACAGAGAGTGTTGAGTATGATTCAATAAAATTTGTATATTATTTTGTAGACAATGGGAATTCATTGATATTTATATTTCTTCTATAAGCAATGTTTTGAGTTTATTTGAAAATAAAAATATAAAGTCATCCAGATCTATGACTTTTTATTTTCCAATTTCCCTTCCAGTCCTTGCCCACAGGGATCCATGCTTTTTATGTAGTTAACAATTTTATAGCCATTTGTATCTATTTACCTGTTTTATAATGATTATTTCATGTTGCTGAGCACATTCCAGTTTTTTTAAAGGTCATGTGTACTTTTTCTTTTTTCTGTGTTTGGGAAGCTAACATGAGCAGTGAACTAAATATGGGCAAGGAGACCTATTAAGGAGACTCTTGTCATAGTGCTGGTGAAAAATGATGGAGGATTATGCCAAGTCAGCAGTAAGAATGGAGACAGACCAAGAGAAGAGGGGCAGACTTAACCTGGGCTCTCTTGAATTCCAGCTTAGATTGGAGTGCCTTTCATCAAGGTTCCATTACTGATTATTTTTCCAGAAAAGCAGTCATCAGTCAAATCATTTCGAATTCGGGTCACTTGTGATGGTGACAGTTTGAAATAATCCATCAATTTCTCTGCTTGTGTTCAAAATAGTATTTATCAAGCCTCCAGTCAGCCCCTTTAGCTAATTAATCTCTTGATATGAATTTTGCAATCAAGGCCTAATTAGAGCTTTTTTTCCTTTTTCTGTATGTCTGCGCATCTTCAGGGGAGGCAGCAGGGATTTATGTGAAAAGCATAATACCTGGCAGCGCCGCGCACCACAATGGCCACATTCAAGTGAATGACAAAATAGTTGCTGTAAGTAACTGTCCTCTGCTTTA